TTATACAGTATATAAACTGAATAAGCTATAATCCTATAAATTACCTTGTCATCCTTGTAAGTGAAATTGTCTTGTTTTGTATCATGTCAAAACTTCTTTAATTAGCTTGCATTTTATTTAAACTGTTTCAATCTCGTGCTTTCTTCATGCTACAAACATGTTTTATAAAATTTTTGATATCTATATCATATCCCATGCCATATTAATATCCAGAAACAGTATCATCACGCATTCGGAAACTGCGGCGTAATGCCGTAATGTTTAAATTACATGAAGTATATCGTATATAAATGGTAGGAATTCTAATTTCTAAATTATTTTAAAATTAAAAACAAAATAATACAGTATTAAACAAATGGCCCACTACATCGTGGTTTTAGGTTCTGCAAACAAACAACAACAAAAGATCTATTGTATGGTATGTACGATGTAATCATTGTTTTACTGTTTATTGTATATACAGGTCTGGAAAATTTAATAGATGAGAGTTGCAAATCACTCATAACCTCACGTATATTTTTCGTTTGATAACCATGCACTATAATTATAACTAGGAGCTAGAGTATAACCATGCACATGTCGAAGTACAACCATTGTATACAATGCAGTGCTCGATGTTACATGCAACATGCATACAGGATGACTTTATTATATAAATCAACACTCGTACTAATTGACTTTCCTAGTCTCCTACTGTTGTTCTAATTAACAGCAATTAGGCTTTGAGAAGCCATGTAGATTATAGATTAATTTGTAGCCCAGCCTCCATAGTCCATATAAATTGTAGCCCAGCCTCCATTTACATCAATAATGAAATTAACTCATTCTGGTAACTAACTCAATTTTGTTGCTGGTAGTGTATGGGATCTATGGGTCTTTCAGATCCCAGAATTACCTGTACCTAATTATTGTAAAGTCTGCATAAAGCAGAAAAAGGCTCTGTTTTTGTCAATGACTGGTGCCTATAGAGTGACAAAATATTGTCAGCCTAATCCACTTATTTGTTTGCTAATTCATGTTGCATTACTTTTGATTGCAAAGCACCTGGATTACATGATTTGCCCGTAAAATAGCAGCAATTGATAAACTTGAGTACATGGACTGAATGTATCAAACAGAATGCATGTTGGCGATTTTAAGCGATTTTAGGCGATTTAAGAGAAATTCGACAATTTTAACCCGCGATTTAATGCGATTTTAGGCGATTTAAGGCGATTTACCGCCCCAGAGTAGGCCTATCGGGTATCCCATAAGCTTGTAGTTTTGACAATAGAATCTGATGATCAATCGTACCAAATGCTTTTTTCAGGTAAACTGGTGCTTGCTTATAAAGTTTGTTCGTTCACTGCAACCAGGTATATCAATCATGTTTCGCTCGCTACTCTGGTTTAAATAAATGATTACAAAGCCCAGTCGAATTGTAATCAAGACCCAACGTTTCGACACTCCAGTCTAGTGTCTTCATCAGGGGTGATCTAAAACTGCGATCGTGGCTTCTTAAATACCCAAGGGATGACGTCACCAGACAAGAATGTGCATATATTCCTCTGGCAAATAGGCACCGTCATCCCTATTCAAAGCATGATGACTCATATTTATATGCCACGCTTCTAGGCAAAGTCTTTGACCATAGCGATTGTTTGTGGTAATTACTTTAGAGTTATCCCACGCAATCTCGTGTTTGGTGTAACATACATGTTCGACTAAAGCTGATTTTCCCTTGTCTAAAGTTGAAACAGACTTTTGATGTTCTTTTAGCCGTGTACCAAACTGGCGTCTAGACTGACCCAAATACTCTTTGTCGCAGTCACCGCATGGTATAGAATATATAGCATGAGTCTTCTGATTTGTTTCAACAGGATCTTTTGGCTTCGCGAAAATATGGCCTAAAGTCAAATAGGGTTTTAAGGCAACCTTAATATTACAATTACTTAAGATTCTCTTGATTGGTTCTGTGACACCTTGAATGTATGGAACTATTGCATAACCCTTAACAGAGGTATCACCCTCTGAGTTATTTTGGTTCCTACTAACAGGTGGTCTCAGGCAATCATTAAGAAAACGCTTTGGGTAATTGTTTTCCCCTAAAACATTTAGAACATATTCACGTTCATTAGCTTGAGAATCACTGTTTGACGGCAACGATTCAGCTCTTTGAAGCAAAGTTTTTGCTACGGATCTTTTATGGCTTACTGGGTGATGAGAGTCGTATGACAAGTATTTGTCTGTGTGTGTGGGTTTGCGATAAACTTCAGAGAGTCGTATGACAAGTATTTGTCTGTGTGTGGGTTTGCGATAAACTTCAGTCTCTAACTTCCCTTCGACAGTTCTGTGCACATTCAAATCTAAAAAAGCTAAATGTCCGTTTATCTCACGTTCTACCGTGAATTGGATGGACGGCTCAATAGAATTTAAATGTTGCAGCAGAATATCGATCTCATTTGTAGAAACCGACGAAACGTTTCCAAAACGAAAGGGTTGTTAGCATAATTATAGATATCAGTTCGTCCTTGGTACATACCTGGATTTAAAAGTGTTTCGGATAATTAATATTTTATCTCGGATACAGGTTTCTAAGTTTATGCTGTTTAGACCGCTTGCATCAGTAAACGTTCATGCATCACGAATAGTCATTCCGAACCATTTTAATATAACCTCAACGTCTTTAAATTTAATTATCGAGACAGTGTGTACAAAAGAAATTGTTTTTTGCAACCGTCGTTGCTAGATGTTGAACTGCACTGGAGTAAGGTTCACATTTTAGCGGATGATAAGCCCGAAGCTGAGTGGACTGGGGACGAGTGTTAAAAGTGCCCAAATTAAGAAATGAACCAAATCACTAAAAAGACCACCTCAAAATTAGTAAGTATTACAAAGTTTGAAGACGTTTACATGAATATCCATCGATATTTACTCAATCTCGAAACCAGAGCCCACAATCCTCTGCGGAGGCTTGCTGAAGCTCTGGGAAACACCAGCGAAAGTCGGGCTCTGATTGGTTGCTTTCAAGTGCTAATTATTATTCAAACTGTGGGTCTGATTCAAACATCGTTTAATTAATATAAAATTTATTTCTCTTCGTGTATTATGTTTAAACATATCAATGAAACACGCAGCATAACTTTAATAAACTTATTAAGCTTCCCTAGCTTCTCATATGAAATCAATAGAATTTTCTGATATTGATATGCCAATAGCAAAATTTACAATAACAACAGTGCAGCATTACCATATAAGGTCATGATAAGCCTTTGCTTGTAATATTTAAAATAACACAACAATCCATGATTTACCGTAATTAAACAAGTTAAAATAAATCACTACTAGTATTTTACAACAATTCAAAACCATGGCAGGTGTTCTTTGAAGAATTAAAGTCGTAATAAGCTTAAACAACGGAATAATACATGTTTGACGGCAGTAATGTCTACTTATAAATGTCGAGCGGAGTACTGGATCTAAATGTACTGATTTTCGTGCAAAAGTCGCCGGTGTTTCCCAGAGCCTAAGCAAGCCTCCACAGAGGATTGCAGGCTCGGGTTTCAAGATTGGATATTTACTATGACATGTATTGTAATTTTTGTTTTGGAGACGTGCGTCTCAAAAACAATCTTTTATAATAATCAGTAATTTCAAAATTTTCGAAAGCTCATTATTCGAAGGGTATTCATGTAAACGTCTTCAAACTTTGTATACTTACTAATTTTGAGGTGGCATTTTTAGTGATTTGGTTCATTTCTTAATTTGGGCACTTTTTAACACTCGTCCCCAGTCCTCTCATCAACTTCGGAATGGCTAATTACCTAGATCTTTTGTCGCCTCTGTCAGTCTGTCGCCTCTTGCTTACTCGTTATCGGTTGGATGTTAAACCGAAACTAATATAATACTAGGTATTTCGTTGCCTCTGGCGACTCTTACTTACATTAATCATCATCAGTTGGATATTGAACTGACATTATATTGAAGACATTATAGTTTGTCGGTAAATATTCCCTAAATTCCCGGTGATCCCATTGGCGCCACTTTGACTTTCAAGCGCGCCACATATTATTACTAGAGAGCTTAAAATGTGGTAAATCTAGTACGCGGACATACGTGCATAAACACACCCTAAATTCTCGATGTCAGCAGCACGGGTAAAAAATATGGATTCTTTTTGCCAACAAAGGTGAAAAACACATTTAAACTAGTAAACAAATCCAAAAGAAAAGCATTGTTTAAACTGTCTTTTTGTCGGTCACGTCCGGGTATTAGAAGTTCCCTATTGTTGAAACGAAAACAAAATTTATATGGCATTTCGAGGTGCGAGGAATCTAGAAGGGTTTCGGGCATAGAAATATTAGATCTAGAATGCGTGCTTGGTCACGTGACTGGTGTCCAAATTGAAAACAAAAATGCCCTTACAATTCGGCCTTGTTGAATTTGAGCATAGGAGTGCAAACTACAAAGTATAAACAAAGCTAAAACTAAGTTTTCATCGTCAAAACGTTTTGTTTGCTTTCTAATTTGTAGTTTGGGGATAGATTTTGAAATATTTTAATATTTTAAAAGTTATTTAATTTAAAGGCTCAAAGCAAAGTGTGCAGTTACTGACAAAAACGGTGAAAATCGTGCAGCCTTGTAAAAGCAAAGTAGTTTCGCGTAAATATAGTTTACTCATAAAACATTTTTGCATGCTCTGAACGTAACTGTTTTGCTAATATCTTATGAAATTACGAAATGATAGTTTATTCTTTGTCGGGTTTTGTTTTTCTTCAATCTAAACGAAGTGTTTTCATGTTTTTGAAACAAAAATTTTAGTTGTCGATAAACTGTAAATCGCCTATATAATCGCCAAAAACTATATTGTTTCAAAGCGTTGCCTCAAGTTCAAGCAACGTAGAAAAATATTAAAAGTAATTGTGTAATTAAAAAGATTATTGAACTCCATTTACATTATTAGACAATTGAAATATTTTTAGAACATACCTGTTGAGTTTGAGTTTGTCTTGATTTTTCGTGTTATGTTTTGGCTTGCACAACATGAACGTTGAAAACGTATTTTTAAACGACGATTTCTCAAATCAAATCAAATCAAATTTATTTTGCCAAATGAATACAGATAATAATTACGATTAACACACACGCACACAAACAAAAAATATTTATATAACAATATAAAGAAATAAAGGCAAGGTAGCCCAAAATGAAACCAAGAGGCTTATTTTATATTGGGCTCCTTTTTCACACAATTAAAGCTGATAGATCAGTGGTCAGTCACACAGAATATAAATCCAAACACAGAATTAAATACGAGAAAGAAATAAAAGAAAAAAAGAAAGTAACCAATCACAAAAAATAAAAACACTCACAAACGTCAATATCACAATGTAAATAGAAAACTGTTTAATTTAGAAGAGAATGACGTAATACTAGGTGCACTTCGTATGTCATCACTTAATGAATTAAAAAATTTAGGAGCTTGATAAGAGACAGAAAATTTTCTAATATTAGTCCTACAGAACGATAATTGATACAGATTAGTCGACCGTGTGAAATAATTATGAACTTGGTTCACAGGTAGGAAGAAATTGTCAAAACTTCTAGGTAGTAAGCCGTTGTGATATTGATACATGAATTTTCCAAGATGATGCAAATAAATCCAATCGAACTTAAGAATTTTTAACTTAATAAAAAGCGGATCAGTATGTGCATCAAATGGTTGTTTATCGAGTATCCTAATAATACGCTTTTGAAGTAGAATAATACGATTAAGATTAGTGGGGTACGTAGAACCCCGTACAGTTATACAATACTGTAAGTAAGGGTAGACTAGAGAAAAATATAACTTACGTAAAGTAGATTTGGACAGGAAAAAACTCGCTTTGTATATAATACCTACAGATTTTGATATTTTCCTGGCAACGTAAGAAATATGACGTTTCCAGGAAATATGTTCATCTAGAATAACTCCAAGGAAAACAACCTCTTTTGCCCTAGTGATTTGATGATCATTTATTTTCAAAGATAAATCAATATCAATTCTTTTTTGTCTCGATTTAAATATCACGTAGTTAGATTTCTTTAAATTTAACGACAACTTATTGGCTTTAAACCATTCAGATATTTTTTCAATTTCACAATTAACAGTATTTACAAGAGATAAAAATTTTTGGTGAGAAAAAAATATATTGGTATCATCGACGAACAAAATCAATTCAAGGATATTGGAAACATTACTTAAGTCATTAATATAGAGGAGAAATAAGAGTGGCCCAAGAATAGAACCTTGAGGCACTCCGCACTGGATAATCGACTTTGAAGAAAAGGTTTCATTATATTGAAATTGTACACGGTTGCTAAGATAACTCTTTATCCAATTGAAAGCTACTCCCCTGATACCATAGTGATAAAGTTTATCAAGCAATATACTGTGATTTACCGTGTCAAAAGCTTTAGAAAGATCAAGAAATATTCCAACTGTAAACTGCTTTCTATCTATTGCCGATGTTATTTTATCACATAAGTAAGTTAAAGCAAGAGAAGTTGAATGATTTTTCCTAAAGCCATATTGGTTGTGAAAAAGTATATCCGATATGTTTATGTATTCCATAACCCGCTTGTAAACAACTCTTTCAAGTATTTTTGAAAATATTGGTAAGATCGATATGGGTCTATAGTTTTGGAAAATCCTACGATCACCGGATTTAAATAGGGGAATAACACGAACGATTTTCATATTATCAGGAAAATAACCCGAAGAAATAGATAAATTAATTATATGAGCAAGCGGTCCTGAGATTAAGTCAACAGAATCCTTCAAGGCAGATATCGGAATATTATCATAACCAGCAGCAGTCCCGGATCGTAGTGAATTAATTATATCCGATACTTCCAGCTGGGTAGTTAAATTTAGTGATATTGAACTGGAATAAGTACCAGATAAATGAGTTCGATGTGAAATATTAGCATCGGGAATTTTCTTGGCTAAGTTATAACCAATATTATTGAAATAATCACAAAAATGATTAGCAATTTCGACTGGATCTGATATGTCTGTATCATTTAAATTAAAAATTGCTGGAAGTTTTCTAGAACCTTTATTCTTATTAATAACTTCATTTATTAATTTCCAAGATCTTTTAATATTACTTTTGAAATAATCAAATTGTTTATCGTAATAAATCCGTTTAGCTAATCTTAAAGAATGATTCAATTTGTTTCTGTATGTTTTATACGACAATTTATTTTCAGAACTAGGGGAATTTAAGTATCGTTTATACAGTCTATTCTTCCGTTTTATTGATTTAAGGAGACCCTTGGACAAACACGGTTTTGTTAAAGCATATTTTCTTTTTCTTACTCTTTTCAATGGGAAACAATTATTATAGGTTTCACGATATTTATTAAAAAAACTATCATACGCTAGTAATGGATCATAAAATCCATCTAAGTTATACCAATTAATGTTATTTAGACAATCTCGAAATTTGGCCACATTATTTGAATTTTTATCCCGGAATACTAAGTATTTGTCATGATCCAAATCTGGTACTTGGTTTTTGCTAACGCAGAATATAGGTAAATGATCAGATATATCTGATAGCAATAGGCCATTTAATGAATGATTATCTGAGTTATTAGTAAATATGTTATCAATGACTGTTGCAGTATAAGCAGTTATTCTTGTTGGGAGCGTTATCAATGGGAAAAACCATGGGCGTACCGAAAGGAAAAAATTAGGGGGGCGGAAAGAAAATTGCCCGACTTTTCGGGATTTTGCCCGACTACAATCACTTTCAGAAGTTGTTGGAACACATGTAGTTTTAGCTTGTAAGTGGATAATTATAGTTTTTTTACACACAATACCGCTCCTAACTCTAGAAATATCACTATGATATATCAGATTTATTCATGTAAAAAAGTGTCAATCGATCCAAAACTTGGCTTAATCAATTTCAAACCCTTTCATTAACAGCAAATACATTGTTAGACATTCTCAAAAAATTATTCTTAGCCTTGTTCTGATTTAAAAGCTGCCTAGTTGCCCATTATTTCATATTTCTATAGTGACAATCGAAGTGACAACCGATGTTAGTTTCATTGCATTCGTCTGGACCGGAAACGCTTATTAGCATAATTAGCGTATAACACTAACTTTGTGTTGTATAATGCGTACAACGCCGTACTGACAGCGAGTCCCTTTCGTTACATATTTTTGGAAGCCTGTGCAACTTTGTTGCTTCGGCGAGTCGCGCGCGCTAGTACATGCTAAGGCGTCAGCATTAGGGAGGTCTATAAGCCCTGGAGAAATCACGAAGTCCGGGTCATTTTTTACCACGTACGAATACGCTGAATAGTAATTTTTTGGGATTGTCTGACTGAGTTCAATTAAATGCCGAATTTACTCTTCTCGAGCTTTCTGATAGCTCGCCAACTTGATCTTGCGGACAATTTTTTAGCCATGTGGAAGTGACTATTTATACTATATGATACCGCCCTTTCCATTAGCCTCCGAAATACCCACCCACTGAGTGCTCCTTCGTACCCATGCGTCGACAATTATATCTGCAAATTCTGCTCTACAAAGATGTGAAATGTCACATTCACTATTGGTGATAAAAATCAAACGTTCTTTACCTTCGGAGTACCCGAATTAGCAGTTGACTCAGCCCTTACCCGCATGTGAAAGTAACCGGATGTTATATTACTATGCTATAAATTAACAGTATGTGTGACATATCTAGCGTATAACATTTGCGATACCTATCTTTATTGACGGACTATAACCTCTCAAATAATCTACTTGTGCTCTGCCAAAATTTGTAGAAACAAACAACGTATAAAACCTTTGTGATTAAGAATGCAATATGACATAACAAATTATATTCATATTCTGTTAATTATTAACTTTGAGAATTTTAATGAAACTTAATTGTTCTATAATGTCATTAGATATTCTGTGAACGAAATGGAGCTGAAGTACTTCGTTCGCAGAGCATTCTATTCCCTGTACTTTTGAGATGCACAATGATGTTATGGCATATGGGGCCCAGACAATCACTTTCAGAAGTTGTTGGGACACATGTAGTTTTAGCTTGTAAGGGGATAATTATAGTTTTTTTACACACAATACCGCTCCCCTCCCCCTCCCCCCACCCCAATCAATGTTGTTTAAACCAAAACACATCAAACCCGACGAGAAATGGGACACAACATTGAACAGGGGGCGGGGGGATTGTCGTTTGTTGAAATTCAAAGGTTTTGTGGCATCTGTCCCAAGACTTTTGAAACTGATTGTAGCTGGAAACCATATATATATATATATATATATATATATATATATATATATATATATATATATATATATATATATATATATATATATATATATATATATATATATATATATATATATATACTATTTAAAACACGAGTAGGAGTGTTTTATTAGAGTGTTTTTTTAGATTTTTTATGAACACTCAAACCCTCTGTTTATTTAACTTGGGATCCTTAAATTACATGATCTTGTCTTTTATATATCATAACGCAATATTTATGTATGATTTTCATAATGACAGTTTGCCAGAAACATTTAATACATTCTTTTCCCTGTTAATCAAAGACATAACTATAATACCAGACTTGCTTCAAGATCATGCACCGTACTCCCTTCCCCATGTTAGAACTAATTGCGGAAAATTCAACATCAGATATTCTGTGTGGAATGAAATTGATGATGAAACAAAGAAACTTAAACCAGCATGTTTTAAAAAGAAACTAAAGAAATATTTACTGGAGAAATATTTAGAGTGAAGTTGTGATATCTTTTGACATTGGCACAATTTTTTTGTTTACGAAAAACCAATAGCCTAAATGTTTTATGTATGTTTTGTGTAAGTCGGGAGAAATCAAGGGAAATCTCTATCACATATAAAGACGACACGCTTATGATTTTTCTTTGTTGCTTGCAGTGGCGGCGCCAGGCTTCCAAATTTGGGGGGGCATTTGAGGGGCAAACTCAAATTTTGGGGGGCAAGATCGAATTTTTAAAAAGGTCGCCCCCCCAGGAAATTCGCCCCCCCCTCAAAACGTGGCGATATTCCTAAGAATATCGCCCCCGGGGGCGAATATCCTAGGAATATCGTCTCCCAGGAGGGTGGGGCGAATTTTCTAGGAATATCGCCCCCCCCCATATATGCGATGTGGTAAATTCAAATAATTTCGTGATACTTTCATCTTATTATTGCCTTACACGTTTGAGAATTTAACTCTGCAAAACTAAAGCTTTTTTGTCTTTTTGTGAAACGTATTATTGGAGTATTGGCAAGTTTTACCATTCAGAGATTTACAAACTAATATTGAAACTGTAAAAAACAGTTTCATGTATACGCGCATTCACTAATGAGTAATGACAACTTATAAGCCATACATTTTCCGATAACGACAGAACGCTTGTGTAGCCTTTAGTCGCTCTTAGTGACTAATAATTTTTTTTGAGGGGGGGCAAAATGGGGGGCAAAAAATAATTTTGGGGGGGCATTTGCCCCCCCTTGCCCCCCCCTGGCGCCGCTACTGCATTCACGGCACATATTTCTGTTGTGATGGTTTGTATTATGCTTTAGTTTGTATATCTAAGTTATCTGACTAATTTTTGTTCAGTTTTGGTATTAAATACGGTTTAAAATGTCTTTAGACAGTTTGTTTACGTTTGCTATTTTTAGCAGTCCTTCTGACATAAAACTGACATTTGAAGTAGGAGTATTTTTCAGGGAGGTCGCGTAATTTTGAAAACGGGTGTAATAGATTTAGGTTAAAGTCGCCCATTAAATAACAAAGTTTGTTTTCCTTGGAGATTATTCCCATGAGAGAATTTAAACTACTAATGAAATCATTAACATTTTGACTTGGTGGCCGATAAACAATGCCTATAATA